TCGGGGAGCTGGGCGCAGAGGTGGGCGTGGGGTTTGCGCAGGGAGAGGTGTGGCGGGGGAGGGCTGGGCACAGAGGTGACGTGCCCACCTGGCCCGGGAGATGGGAGGGGAGATCTGCGCTGGGAGGCGCAGATGGCATCCGGGCCGAAGGAGAGTGAGCGGCCAGGGAGAGCAACAGCCAAGCCAGCTCTGGACCCCTCCCGCTCCCCCAGCTCCATCTCCTCTGAGAGCCGCCACTGCTCACTGGGTCTACAGCTTCGACTGTTTTCACGGTGGCTGCGCTGGGGATGGAACCCAGGGCCCTGCACATGGCAGTCACGTGCTCTACCGCTGAGCCGCATTTCCAGGTGCTGGACTGGATCTGTCCCTCTACTTCCCTTCTTGCTTCCCTGCCCTTCAGTTTACACAGAGCAGCCAGAGTGGCCAAGGCGGTGCACCTCTGTAATCCCAGCACTCTGGGAGGTTGAGGCAGGAGGACTGAAAACTTGAGCCCAGCCTGGGCCGCTTAGTGACTCAGTGAGACTCTGTCTCAAAAAAATAGGGGCGGGGATTTAGCTCAGTGATTCTACTGCCTGCTTCACAAGCATAAGGTCCCAGGTTCTAAATAAACAAATAAGAGGAGCTCTGTGCTCTCTGGGTTCAATCCCCAGGTCGGAGAAAAACAAACAATGGGCTGCCACTGCGATGGTGGCAAAGTGAAAATCAGGTCACGTCCTTTGCCTGCCTCCATCCCCGGTGACTTTCTCCTACGTTTGGTGGGTAAAATCCAGATTCCTCTACCAAGGCCACCTCCAGGCCCTAGGGGTCTGGCCGCTGCCACCCTCTGAGGTGACCTCATGCTCCTTGCCCGACCCCCTGGGCCTGTCGCCCTTCAGCTGCAAGCGGGAGCTCCCCTCCCTGGCTCCCAGCCCAGCGGCTCCACCCAGTCACACAGGTTTGCGGCCAACCCTGTCTGGTGCCACCCAGCAGTTTTTTCTGCCTTCTCTCTCCCTAACACAACTCGGGTTTTGTTCAAGGGCAATAGCCCAGTCCTGCCCCAGCCCTTGGGGTGAGTCTGGATCTGTCTCAACCAACTCTGGTGTTACAGGACTTTGGAAGGGACTTGTTCTGTGGTCTCAGCCTTCTGGCCCAAGAACCCGCTGAGGACCGGAGTTGACAAGTAGTTGCCTACATTCTGACAGAGCCCCGTGGAGCTTGGCGTATCTGTTTTAGGCTGAGCAGAGGAGCAGAAAGTATTTTTTTCCCCTACGCCACCAGTTTACACAAGCAGATGAGAAATGTGGACAAGCGCCTAGCATAGGCAGGTACAGGAGGTCTCTGGAGAGTGTGGGCGTCCTGCGCCAGTGAGAGACCCCAGGAGCCCGAGCCCCTCTGCCTTTGGGAGTGGAGGTGGGGTCGCTGAGCAGCAGAGCCTGCCAGCCACCCCGGCCTTCCCTCCGTGCACCCGCTTCTCCTCGGGCAGGGAGGGCTGGCTCCCCTGGCTTGGCAGGCAAGGGCGTGAGCACTTCCTCCGGGACAAGTGGGCACTTTGGAAGGCGTCAGGCCTGGAGCCACCTGTGCGCCAGGCAGCCCGTGGGGGAAGGGGTCCCTGAGGCCAAGGCCGTGGGCAGCGCAGGAGTGAGGGGCCCCATCTGCTGTTGGGAAACCAGGTGTGAGGTCCACAGGGAGCCTTGGGGGGCAGCGGGGCTGAGGGCCTGACACGCAAAAGCACAGCAGCAGCAGCAGCGACTTAGCCTCTGTCCCGCATCCACTCCCCCTTCTGCCATCAGAAGAACCAGGAAGGGAAGGCGGTAGAAAAGTGAGGGAGGCCAGGAACTCTCCACAGCAGGCCCTCAGCTGAGGTCTAGGGAGTTAGAGGCTGCGGGGAGGGAGACACCGACCTGGAAGGGGGCAAGGCTGCGACAGGGCAGAGACTGGGCTGTGGTGACCGAAGGGACGCCGGGTCCTCCTGAGGAGAAGTGTGATCGCACGGCCAGAGAAACAGCACTGTGTCCCGTGTCCCGCCCCCCAGCTCGAGCCTGTGGTGAGGGCTTCTGCTGCCCAGGGTGTGAGAGGAGGCCTGTGGGACGGCAGGGCCAGCACCCTGCTCCCGAAAGGGACCAGTGAGGGACGTTCCTTCCTCCTCTCTGGTCTTTGACATTCTGTGTGAAAATGTGGCACCTGGAGTGCAAATTGAAACAGCACTGACGCCTTACTCCTGCAAGAACAGCCATGGAGGACAAAAACAAGGCTGGTGGGGCGGTGGGGGAAGGAGCAACCGCTAGGGAGACAGCTGAGGAGATTCCGCCAAGCACCAGAGCTGGGAATGCCGGTGGACCCAGCTGAGCCTCTCTGGGTGTCCTCCTGAGAGTTAAAGTAGTCACTGCAGGGACACACGCAGGCCATGTTTACAGCAGCACAAATCACAGCCACTGAATTATGGAAGAGGCCTCTGCATCTGTCAGCAGATGGAGCGACAGAAAATGCGGTGTTTGCAGAGTGGAGCACTGCTCTACCATAAAGATGAACCTGAGGCATTTACAGGAAAATGGATGGACCCTGAGATCCCCACAGTAAGAGAAATCAATCTGACAGGAAGAGGATCAAGTGCTGGAGGAAAGGGAGCAGGAGGGAAGGGAAGGGACATAAAAAGAATGAAGATGGGGCTGGGGATTCAGCTCGGTGGTGCCGCTGCCTGCTGCCTGCCTCTCAAGCTCAAGATTCAGAGTTCGAGCCCCAGTACCACAAAACAAACAAACAAAAAAAGAAAGAATGAAGATGTGTTATGCACCTGTACCATCTCCCCACGATGAGAGTAATCATGATGTCCCGCAAGCATGGACTAATTACAACAACAACAACAACCAGGACAGGCACGGTGGTGCACGCCTACGATCCCAGTACTCGGGAGGCTGAAGCAAGAGGGTCACTATGCATTCAAGTCCAGCCTGGGCTACTAGCAAGACTCTGTCTCAAAATAACAAAGACACACACACACACACACACAAGAAATAAATCAGACACAAGGTTAAATATTACATGATTTCTCTAATAGGAGAAACCCAACATATAAGTAATTTAAAGACAGAAATAAAAGAGAGAAAGGGCTGGGGATTTAGCTCAGTGGCACTGCACCTGCCTAGCAAGTGCAGGGTCCTGAATTTGATCCCCGGTGCCAATAAAATAAAATAAATAAGAGATAGTAAGAAACAGGGAGGCTGACTGTGGGAGTGGGAAGGGTATCTGGAGAAGAAGGCAGAGAGGAAGGTGGGGGAGTAAAGTGAACAAGACTCAGTATGAATGAATGTAACGGTTACACATTGCAAACATACACTAAAAACAGGAAAGATGTGACGCTTGGAGCTGCTGCAGCCATTTTGGGAACTGAAGTGGAGGGGTTGGCAGGCTGCACCGCAGGTGGCAGAGAGAAAGACGGAAGGAGCCTGGCTCTTTGATGAGTTACTGAAAACTCCAAAACCACCCCACTTTGATTTTTGTTCTACGAGATAAACTCTCTCTATGGTTCAACCACTTTTAGGTGGGTTTTCTGATCTTGCAGCCAAAGGTCACCATTCAAACCTCATCTTTGGGGCTGGGGATTTTAATCACTGGCCAGTGCTTGCCTCACCTGTGAGGCCCTACACCTCCCGCCAGCCAGCTGAAGGGGTCAAGCTGGCCCCAACCACGTTCCAGCCCTTCCCCAGTCCTCTGCCATACGTGTTTCATACCACTCGCTGCCGTCAGAATTCTGTCTGTCTGTCTGTCTGTGTTTTGTGTTCTGAGGACTGGACCGAACTCAGGGCCCTGTGCACGCTAGGCCGATACCCGACCCAGACCCAGAAGTGCTCTTGCTTGTGTGCTGTCTCCAGCGTCTAACTTTCTCCCCTTTCACGTCAACTCCAAGGAGCCCGCGCTCCTTAACCTCGCCCTCTGTGTCCTCAAGCCAGTGGTCAGCGAGAGCTGACTGAAGCGAAGGGTGAGCTGAGTTTCTCTGGAGAAGCAGAGAAGGGCCAGAGAGGCCCAAGGATGGTGGGGTCTGGTCTGTGGGGTGCCCCTTGGACTGGGAAGACTCCCTGGAGACGAGGCTTTCCCTTAAAGGCACAACGTGCTGACTCACAGAATGACGGACACCTAGGCTTGGCCCACTCCCCCGCCTCGGGCTGGCACTGACCCACCAGGCTGTACAACACCACCATCTTCTGCTCTTCATAGATGATCATGGGGCTCACCAGGAGCTGAAAGAGACCTGAGGGCCGGTGAAGCTGAAGGTCTAGGGCTCGGCCCCAGCCGTGGTCCAGCCACTGCCCACCTGACCTTGTGCTTCCACACTCACCCATGGCCAGGAGTCCCCCGGTGCCAGCCCCCAGCAGGAAGGCAGTGACAGGGAACTGGCCTGGCTGGCGCCACAGGAACCGGCAGCAGGGCTCTGGCAGCCCCCAGCTCAGAAGCCCCTGCACAGCTGAGAGTGAATGGTTGAGCTCACAGCCCCTCTTCTGGCTTGGGTGGGCTCGTCAGGGTTAGGGACTTGTGGGGGGATCTTGGGAGACCCTGGAGGAGAATAAGGGACCTTTAACAAGTGGACAGCAGTGAGGGAGAGAAGGCCAGGTGTGGTGGCCCACACCTGTAATCCCAGCACTCAGGAGGCTGAGGCAGGAGGATCATCGGGAGTTTGAGGCCAGCCTGGGCTACATAATGAGTTCAACGCCAGCCTGAACTGCATAATGAGACCTTGTCCAAAAAAAAAGGAGAGAGAGGAGAGGAGCAAATGTGCCAGGAAGGGGTCCTGGGTGCCCATCTCACTGGTGTGCGGTGGCTTCCCGTTGGGCAGTCTTGCTTTGCCCTGCTCGCGTTTAACACCCGTGAGCCTGTTCTGTGGAGCCCTCTCTGGCCCCAGCAGTCTCCTCAAGGCCTGAGCCATCCTGGGAGAAGAGGGAGGCCATCCTGCCCCGCTCAGCCTCTCTGCGTCTGCCTTTTGGTCCCCAGCCCTGAGACGTGGGAGTAGGTGAGACCCTCGCTCCTCCATGGTCCTCGGAACAGGTGAGGGGTTCCGAGAGCCCCAGCACAAGCTCTCCGGAATCTCAGGACAGGGCAAGGGATTCCAGGGCCCCAGCCCCCGGAGCCTCTCCTAGAGACAAGCGGGCATTTGGCAGAGCAGCCGAACCCAGAACTATGGGGGATGTCGTGCTGCCCCTGGGGGCAGAGGAGCCTTGCACTGCGCGGGCCGTGGTCCGCAGTGTGGGTGGCTTCGCCCTGGGATTGTCCTTGGCCACGGCCTATGGGCTGCTGGAGCTGCTGGTGGAGGGGAACAGCCCCTGGAGCTGCCTGGTGGGCACCATCACTTTGGCCGCCTTCCTTAGCCTGGGCATGGCGTTCTCCCGCCAGGTCCGAGCCACTGTCTTTCTGATGCTGCCCCAGGCCTTCTCCAGTGAGCATGGTCCGGGACGGGGGCAGGCTGCCCGGGTGGCTGTCTGCGAGGGCCTGGCTGCCATGTTCGGGGCTGTCTCCCCAGGGCATGGCCAGATGCTGCTGCTGGTGGCCACCTTTGGGCTGGTGCTCCAGGGGCCTTGTGCCAACACCCTGCGCAACTTCTCCCGGGCCAGTGAGGCTGTGGCCTGTGGTGCCGAGCTGGCCCTGAACCAGACTGCAGAGGTGCTGGAGCGGGCCAGGCAGCCCCTCGTCAGTAAGCCCAGCTCTGCCTCCCACAGCCTGGGCCCTCATCCCGCACGGTCTGCTGCCCCTTGCCTCGCCTCACTCCTGTGTCCTGACCACGAAGCGCCCAGCCTCCGAGAGACCTGGGGCCCAACCAAACCCCGTAGAGTGCTGCAGAGCCTCCTCTGCCTCCCCAATGGGGTCCTGGTGAGAGGTGGGCCCTGGAGGAGGCCCACAGTGTCCCTGCTGCTCCCTCACAGGTGCCCTGAACAAGATTAAGGCTCTGGCTCGGAATGCCAAAGTGGTGGCGGACCGGATCCGCAAGTTCTTTCGCTCCATCATGGACGGCGTGTGGCACGTGGGTGAGTTGTTGCTTGCTGGCTCTGGGAGTCCGGGCCTCGGTCCTGGCCCCACCTGCCTGGGCCTCTGGCGCTGCATGTCCCAGGCACCCCAGAAAGAGGAGACTGAGGCGCTGTGGCCCTGGGTGCCAGCCCCATGACCGCCCCCAGCCAGGGCCCTGAGGAACGTGTGGTACTGGCTCCTCCACATTGGCGATGTCTGCAACGCTGAGCTGGGCGACCCTTACTCCAAGTGCGCGCGGGTTTTCGATGACGCCAAGGACAGCTGCATGAAGACCATCCCACAAGCCTACCACTTGTGCTATGTGCTCATGCCCTTCAAGCTGGCGCTGTGTGGGCTGGCCAGCGGTGAGCAAGCCCAGGGCTTGGGGCAGGGGGCCCGGGGACCCTTGGTGACCCTGAGGACACCAGGCTCGGGATGGAGGGCTGGGTGGTGGGCTTCAAATGTTGGGGTGGGCAGCAGGAAGAGGCAAGGAGGAGCAGCAAGTCACGTGAGGCGGTCGGTCGAGGCTGCTGTTCTCCCTGACTCCGCACTCCGGCTGTCCAGTGGTCCAAGTGTTCTGCGTCATCCCCAAGTACATCCAGCCCTTCCTGCGCGACACCATCGGCACCCGTGAGTGGTCCCCCAGCCCCCGCCAGGCCTTGAAGGAGGAGCAGAAGCAGCAAAGGGCAGTTCGGGCAGAGGCACCCAAGCAAAGCCAGGCTTAGACAGCTGAGGCGGGGCGGGCACAGGGCACACGGCCCCTCCAGCCCCGTCCTGTGCCTGGCATCGTGCTGGCACTGAGCATGTGTCATCCTCTCCCGGCCCGAGTCCTGAGGGCTCTGGCTGTCTGGGACCTTGTGAGCCCCAGGCTGCGCCAGACCCGTGCGCACCCTGGCCCTGCTAACGCTCCTGCCGTGTCTCCTGCTGCCCAGCCGTGCTGAAGCTGATTGACCGGGTGCGTCGGGAGTTCGAGTTCAACGTGACTGTGACCCACTACTTCTCCGTGGACCTCAATGCCTCCCGGAGCCTCTCCCAGGTGGCTCTGGACCTCCACGAGGCTGTCAGCCTGAGGCTGCACCGCTTCCGTGAGGCCCTGGCTCTGATGGGCTACACCACGCCTCTGCTGTTCACACTCCTCTACCTCCAGTGAGAGCACCTGAAGATGGGGCAGGTGGGGCTGGGCGACCTGGGTGCCAGAGGCCTCTCGTTCTCCCTCTAGAGCCCTGTTCTACCGGTATGCCTACCTGCACTGGGATGATTTCGACAATGTCTACATCACCAGCCACTTCCTGCACATGGAGGCCGTGCGCTCCCTGGCAGGGCTACCCACAGTGCTGCCGCTCAGCGCCCACGAGGCCGGACATTACATCCAGCCTGGTGAGGGGCTGCGGCCCTCAGCGCTGGTCTCCCTTGGGCAGGGAGGGTCCTGGAGGCCGGCAGGCCGCACCTCCAGAAGAGCCCCACACTGACCTCAGACGCCTAGCCTTGCCTGTGTCCCTCACAGCCTCCTTGGAGCCGGCTCAGGGTCTGGGGCCCAGTGGGTGGGGAGCGGACACCATCCAGGTCCCCCTCTGTCCAGGCTCCATCTTCCTGTCCCGATGGGAGCAGGTCTTTTACGTCCTGGAGCTCTTCAGCCTGATGCGCCACCTCGCCCTCATGCTGTTCCTGGTCTTCCTGGACTACGCTGTCTTCTGGGTGCTGGACTTGGCCCGGTACCAGCTTCAGGGGGAGATTGTGGCCCGCAGTGAGTGCTTGCCACACCTGACTCGTCCTCCTCTTCCTGGAAGTCCCCATGTCACTGGTACTCAACCTCTTCTGGCTCCATCCTTTGCCTGGTACACCTGTACCCAGGTCAAAGTCATAACAATAGGGGCAACTGAGGCCAGGCATGGTGGTGTACACCTGTAATCCCAGCATTGGGGAGGCTGAGGCAGGAGGATTCCTGCAATTTCAAAGGTCACATAGTGAGCCATTTGTTTTTTGTTTGTTAGTTTGTTTTTTGAGACAGGGTCTCACTGTGTAGTTGAGAATGACCTGGAACTCATTTTGTAGCCCAGGCTGGTCTCGAACTCACAGCGATCCTCCTGCCTCAGCCTCCCGAGTGCTGGGATTACAGGCGTGCGCCACGACACCGGGCGGTCACATAGAGAATTGGAGAGCATCCTGAGCAATACCTTATCTCAACAATCCCCTGCAACACACACAAAAAAAACAAAAACAAAACCAAACAAAACCCCTGTCCTCTGCCAGGCAGTGATTTCAAGCAAGTTGTATAACCTCCCAGAGCTGCAGTTTGTGCATCTGAGCAATGGGATAAGGAAGGAGAAACTTCTTTGGGTCACCGTAAGGACAGGAGACTGCTGGGTGCCTGCTAGGCCATAGTGACGTCTGCCATGGGCCACAGAGCAAACTGGTATAACCACCAGAAGTAGGACCGAAGAAGTGAAAAAACAAAACCCTAAACCCAAAACAAACATCCAGTTAGTGCGAGGCCTTCTACACAGTCAGTACACAGCGCTGTGTGTGTGGTTATGGGGACTGAACCCAGGTCCTTCACACTGAACTATATCTCCAGCCCTTTTTTCTAAATTTTATTTTGAGACAGGGTCTCTCTAAATTTCTTAGGGGCCTCAAATTTTGCTCCTCCTGCCTCAGCCTCCCAAATAGCCATGATTACAGGCATGTACCACTATGCCTGCCTCAGACAATGCCTTCCAATAAAGTATTTCTGGGCAGTGTGGGGTGGGGTGAATCTCAGATCTGGTGGTCTGGACCAGCAGGCCAGATACCAGCGCTGCCCAGCTGGACCAGGGAGCCAGTCCAAGGCTCCAGGACTGAGGTCAGGACTGAGGTCAGGCCTCAGGGGGCCCCGGGGCTGTCTGGGCATCCAGGCCCCCTGGCTGAGAGCATGGGCCACACTTGTGACCCGCACGGCCTTCCACCAATGGACAGATGTGCTGGTTTCCTGCGGTGGAGCAGGCACCTGCCATGCATGCTACTTACTCCACGTCTTTATGCCAGGCCCCGTGTTGGTGTCCATAACTGTGGAAGGGACGGGATTCACCGGGAATATTTACCGCGACCTGGTGTCAGCTCTCGATGTTCTGCAGCAGGGCAATGTTAGCATCTTGTCCCGGCGCTGCCTCCTGCGGCCCTCAGAGCCAGACTCCACCAGTTACACAGTCATCGGTGTGGCACAGCCCAGGTTGGGCCGGAGAGGGTGGCAGGCGGCCGGCCAGGGCCTGAAGCAGCCCTCACTGGGCTTCTGTGCTGCAGGCGCCATGTATGGCCTGTGTGTCTTCGTCGCGGTGTGTGGCAGCTATGTCAGCCGGCTGCGGAGGGTCATCTGTGCCTCCTACTACCCATCCCGTGAACAGGCGAGCGGCCACAGCCAGGCCAGCCCTGCCCCTCTGGCTTTGGGGACCTGGGAGGACTCCGGCAGCCCAGTCCTGTAGCCCTGGGCTGAACTGCTGGTCTCTGGGCCCCAGGTGGACATGGGGGAAGTGCGGCCACTTGGGGCAGGGCCTCCTGGCACAGAGCTTGCCTCCAAAGTCTTGAAAACCGGGGTCTGGGGCAGTGCTGGCATGTGGGGTGGGGGAAACTTGCCCTCTGTCTACTCGTTTGCTACTTGTTTGCTGAGCACCTACTGTATGCCTGTCCTGTGCTGGTCACTGAGGACGCCGGGATGAACCAGCCACACTGGCCTTTTAGGGGACATTGTAATTTTTTACAAAAGAGCTCATATTAAGGAATGGATAAAGTGCTGTGGAAATCCAGAGATGGGAGTGGGTGATTCCACCCAGGGAGGCCCGGCAGGCTTCCCAGAGGGAGGACCTAGAGTCAAGCCTGGGGGGATGTGTAAGAGTTGCAGAGAAAGACGGGGCAGGACAGCAGGGGCCTGCAGGGTGGGTGAGCCAGGCTTGATTTCCCAGCAGGAAAGGATCTCCTACCTCTACAACCTGCTTCTGAGCCGCCGCGCTAACCCACTGGCCACCCTGTACCGTGCGGTGAGGCGCAGGGCAGCTGACCAGAGCCACATGAGTGCCCTCCAGGTGCTGGCTGTCTGGTGAGTCCCTGTCCTTCCCCAGAGGGTGTGGTGAGAGTGGACAGAATAAGAGCCAGTGCTCTGGGGGCCACTGCCCTTCCGAGGGGATCAGAGAGGGGACTTGAGACACAACTGTGAGGGGCAGGAGAGAGGAGGGAAGACCGACCGTGGAGACCGTGGACACCAGGGAAGACAGGAGGGTCAGGCCCAGGCAGGAGGAGGTCGAGGCCCAGAGTGAGGAGGGGGCGCCAGCCTGGGGAGTCAGCAGGGGCCTGGCTGGTCCGTGTGTGTCACTCTTCTCAGGTGCCCACGGCTGAGACCGTTCACCGGGCACCAGGCCCACTGCCTGGGCTGTGGGCAGCCTCCAGAGAATGTGGACAGGGACAGCTTTATGTTCTGCAGCACCCCAGGGTGCCAAGGTGAGCCGCGGGGGCATGTGCCCCTCTCCGATGGCACTCACCACGTCACAAAGCCGTCAGCCTCTCCCTCCCTCACCTGCACCCTTCCCTCCAGGGCTACCTCTAGCCCATCTCCTCCCTGCTCTCCTGGGCTTTGCGGCTGTGAACAGGATTCTGTGCAAGGACACTGCAGCAGCTCCCTAGCTGGTCCCCGGGGGTGGAGGGGCTGGAAAGCAAGGAAGAGGGGACAGGTGGATAAGTCAACTGCCCCTTCCCTCCTTCCTGCTGCAGGCTGCTACTGCCAGGACTGCTACCGCCTGCTGGGCAGCACCTGTCCCTTATGTGCTGCTCCCCTCTCCAGCCAGGGGGACCTGGATGAAGAGCTGTGAGTCCTTCCCACGAAGTCTGTGGGGGCGGTGGGCGTGGCCTCTGCAGCCCTGAGATGAGGCTTCTCCAGGGACTCCAGTGACCAGGAAGGCCCCGGGCTCTGGCTGGCTACAGCCGGAAGGAGGGTGCCGGAGGAGGAGCCAATCCTGCAGCAGCAGCTCCAGGAAACGCCGAGCAGCAGCCACTCCGAGGAGTCCAGCTCTGGGTCCAGGTGAGGTGACGGAGCTGGAGGAAGCAAGGCTGTCACTTTTACAGCGGCTTGGGCTTCACAGCGCCTGGACCTGAGCTGGGGCTGAGCACAGGCGTGAGGAGTGAGGAGGAACAGGCATCCCGAGTGCCCGCTCTGTGTTCATACCACCTGCCCGCAGGGCTCCGTCACACCTGTGTAGGGGGCACCCCAATACAGGAGAGACACATTACTGGACGGGGTATATGGCCGAGGGCTTCGGAGGAGGACAGATGAGCCTGGTTCTGTGGCAGCCTGAGTGTCGGCAGCTAAGTGGAGGAAGAGGGGGAGAGTAAACCTGGGGTGTGTGGTGTGCTTAGGGGAGACTTCAGAGATTGCTGAGGCTGACGTCAAGCTGTGGAGAAACAGACACAGGCCTTCCTGGCCATTTGAAAGTCAGGCTGAAAAGTGAAATAGTCATCTGTCTCTGAAGACAAGACGGAGAGCTGAGCAGGCGGGGTGGAGGCAGGGCAGCGGCTGCCTGCCGCAGTCCGCAGCAGGGAAAGGCGGGTGACAGCCTGGGGTCTGGTCCGAGGGGCTGGCCCAGTGGGGGCAGGCGATGCTGCCTAGGGCATCCAGCTCAGACGCTGCAGGGGCAAGGCCGGTGCTGGAGGTGTCCCAGCCAAGCCCCCCAGACTGAGAGGAAGAGCTGGAGCTGCCGGTGAGGGTGGAGCAGCAGAGACTGATGAGGGCTCACCCCAGGAGAGGAGAGGCAGGGAGCGGCTGGGAAGCTGTGAGGGGACCCGCAAGGTGTGGGCCTGAGGCCCGGATCACCTGTGTGGCCAGGGGGCCCACAGCCAGATCAGGACAGGGTGAGGGCTGAGGAGAGGGCACCTAGGAAGAGGGGAGGTGTGCCTTGCATCATGGCCACCAGAAGACTGAGGACTCCTTTACAATAATAACTTGTAGTTACGAACAGGAACCGGGGTGGTGAAGAGAGCTACACACCAGAGAGGAGTCCGCTAGGGACCCGGCACTGGCAGATGTTTCTGTGTCCAAGGACAGGAAGTGCAAACGCGGGGCACGCCGAGGAGGGAGGGCTCCGGGCCAGGGGGACAGGGTGACCCGACAGGCACCGCCCGGCCCAGGTGGCAGGAGAGGAGGTCCTGGCAGAGCTGAGCCTCACTTTCAGGGGAGTGGGAGGAAAGGGCACCCACTGAGCATGAAGTGGAGCCAGGAGTGGCATAAAGGCCTTCAGAAGTGGGTGGCAGAGGCGAGATACAGGCCAAGGGGGGTGTGCTAAGAAGTCACCTGGGGAGAGAAGGGTTCCAGGTAGTGTCAAAGGCCCCGTGGTGACGAAACCCCGACCTGGACGGGCTGCCCCAGCGTCCCAATGTGTCGGCAATGACAGGGACCCGAGGGCTGAGGGCTCTTTTCCGGGCAGGTCAGGGGAGATCGAGATGAGACGTGGGGTGTCTTTGGCTGGGTTCTGAGATGACTGGCCTTGGCCCAGGGCAGTCAGGGTCCGTCACCGTGAGGTTGCAGGGCAGAGATCAAGGGGAGCGCCGGGGGCTGGCCCAGAACTCAGGGAGGACTCTGCTGAGTGGGGCTGAGCACTTCCGAAGGGGAGGCTGACCAAGGTGGAGGTCGCTGGGGCCCAGCCTTGAGAACTAGGTACACCCTGGGCGGATGTGGCCGGTGTCCTAGTGCCAGTGATACAGCTGTGGCGAACACCACGGGGCAGCTGGGAGTCCAAGGCAGAGCTGTTCCACCGGGGCCCTGTGAAGGAGGCCGTGCTGTGGGCGCATCCCAGCGGGACTGGGCTGCAGAGGCTGTTGATAAGCCCCAGGGGCAAAGTGAGGCAAAGGTCTCTTTCAGAGGTTCCAGAGGCCCAGGGAAGTTAAAAGGCTGGGTCAGCAGGGGGCAGCGTGTGCCGAGCAAGGCCATGGCTGAGGTCACCCAGCTACGTGACCCCGGGCAAGTCCTTGGCCATCTATCCCTCCATCAGCCTAAAGTCAGGAGTAATCTACAGCCTGGGGCTGCTGTGCCTCAGGGGCCAGGAAAGCAGGAGCCACAGGACAGGGTAGGGCAGGACACACCTGTGAAAACAAAACTGGGGATAGAGCTGTCCTCCCTCTCCCCCTAGTGACCCGGATGAGAAGGGGCCTTAGCAGAAGTGGCCGTAGCAGTGCCCATGGCCCAGCCCCATGGAAGCCTGCATTCCTCATCCCCTCAGGAATCCCTGGCCCCCAGCACTCCCTCCCCAGTCTCAGAACTCTCAAACCCTGTCTTTCACCTCCTCCTCCAGATCCTTCTCCTCCATCCCCAAAATAAAGGAACCAAAAGTGGACACAAGTGTGAATCTTAAATTATTATTTCTTCCTGTCGTTTACACCCGAGGTGGGGGGGGCAAGGCTAGGGGAAGGGAACAGGAGCGGGGAGGCTTCCCCCCCTAAGGCACTGACTGGGAAAGCCGCAGTGAGAGGAGAGGCCGCGTTAGCCACTCTCGGGGGCCAGGCCCCGCTCTCCCGGCCCAGGGCTCCCTCATCACCCAAATGCTCCTGAGGCCCAGGGTACCCGAACTCCCCTCCCGCCCCAATATATTACGTCATCACTTTTTAAATAGATACAGGGACTGGTTCCACCAATCCCTCCCTGTGACCCCTCCCACTGTTGGGGGTACCCGGGCAGCTGTGCAAATGGGCATGGGGTGCAGGGAAGGGGGAGAGCACCGCCCCGAGCCTGACCCTTTCGAGGAGGAGGGGCCTCCAGGCCAAGAAGGGAAAATAGTGCAAGGCGGAGCCCAGGCCGCACAGGGGTCCAGCACCCAGCGAGGAAGGGGTCGGGACACCCCCCCACAACCCAGCAGAATGGGGGAGTTAAAATTCTGAAACTAGATTTCAACAAGACAAACAGAAGAGGCTATGTACAGATTGGGTGCACTCAATCCTAGGGGAAGGAAGGGGACCCTCTCTGCCTGGCCGGCCGGCTCGGGGCCCAGGGAACAGGGACCCCGCCGTCCGGAGGGGTGAGGGCTCTGCGGCCG